CACTACTACAGCTGCAGAGTCTTCATGTGCTTAAGTTCTGAGGTCTGCTGAACCACTGCCTCCCGTTGACAGTGCAACCTTAAATAATCGACTGGAATATCTACGTTCCGGTAAAGCTAGTGGGCCAAACATGCTATCTCCTATCTTACTCAAAGAATGTGCCGATTGTTTGGGTATGTACACAACGTGTATGTAGCAACACAAATAGCCGACTACTGGAAAAGTGTCAATATGACACCAGTGCCGGAAAAATTATCTAACAAATATCAACCTATTGCGTGCACTTCTGTTGTTTTGTAGGTTCTGGAGCAAGTCATACTCGAAAATGATGCCGTCCAGAGCACGCTATAAGGACGCGCTCCAGTTCGCCTATTGTACTTTGTGGTCTACCCTAGATGCTGTGGCCTACCTCGTACATTCTGCACTGTCATCGCTTGACAATAGGAATAAGGCAACTCGGATATGTTTTCTTGACTGCATCAATGCAATTGGCTGTGTAAACCGCGAATTACTGTTAGATGGCCTACTTACTCAAGGGGTACATCCCTTCATTGTCTATCTACTGTGTGATTATTTTGCTGGTCGCACTCAGATCACCCAACTTAGTGGAAGATGTTCCACCCCACCACACACTAACGCAGGTGTACTTCAGGGAGCACTTCTGTCGCCTTTTCTCTTTTCTACTTACATCAGCTCTATACCAGCTCCAATTGACGCGACTCTGATAACATATGCGGACCATATCGTCCTGGGCATCAGTCACCAAAGCGCCGATTGTTCGTTCAGACTACAAGCGGTTCTGAATTGTCTTAATGGCTGTTCCAAATCCCGTGATCTCTCTCCTCATCCTTCAAATTGCCATGGCATTCTACTTTCCTTACACAAAGGAGCCAGGTACGAGGAGCTCTTTACACTCTGCAACAAGTTTTTTATTAAAGGTGACGAATTACAGTCTTCCGCATCAGTAAAATGTGTGGGTGTGACGTTGAGTTATGATTTATCTTGGATGCTTTAAGTAAATGAAACTTCACGAAAGTCAGAAGGCTGTCATTCTATGTCTGTCGGCTCAGAGCCTGCTGGGTTCCTCATGAGTTGATCGTTCGCTTTGTCAATGCCATTGTTCTTCCCCATCAGACATACTGTTCCTCTGTGATCTTTCCCGGTCTTTCTGGTAAGCATTTTAAGTTAATTGTCAGATCATTAAAGTACTTAGCCCGATGTTGCTGTGTTCCGATATCTACTTTTACCAACACTCTTATTTCTATACACATATCAGTACTTGTAAAAGCTGACCTCTAAGATACTCACCGATACAAGTCTTCCCCTACATTCTGTCTTAACTAAACGTTTATAAAATTCATCTACTAACCAGAAATACAAGCTAATCTATGACCGCACACAAGCTTACCGCTCGTCATCCCTTACTTCTCGTGTCTTTTGCGTGACCCCAACTCTGTCATCCTTGAGTTAACCAGTCGACTTGATTGTGTTTTTTTGTCCTTATCTACCGTTCTTTGTCGTATTGCTTTGCCATTGATTTGCTACTGATGAGCAGGTTCACTCTATCGCTGGAATCTGGCAACTTTCCAGGCCAATGGAAAACGTCATTTATTATGCTTCGGCATAAAGGAGGTCCCAAACAAACGATTGATAACTACTGACCAATCCACCACACTCCGATAGTCGCTCGGCTATCTGAAAATTTGATCAGAATGGAGATGATGAACTTTGTTAATTCTTTTGACCTGATAAACAATTCGCAGCATGGTTTTCTCAATAAACGATCGTGCACCACTTGTCAACTGCATTACCTTAATTACATTTCAGAATCAATCGATTCCAATTATGTAGTAGTAATCTTGTTTCTTGGCATACATCAAGCGTTCGACCGGGTACCGGACAAGCCACTAATACAAAAGTTGGAGAACTTTGGGATCCGGGACCCATTACTAGGATGGTTATCGTCATACCTGAGTGATCGTCATCAGGTAGTCACGTTTGGCGATTCTCGCTCTTCCCCACGCGCAATCACCAGTGGAGTCATTCAAGGGATCGTGCTCGGCGCCTAACTCCTTTTGCTTTATATCAGTGACATCACCACATCTGTAAAACATGTTACCTCATTTTTATCTGATGATGATATCAAACTAGTCTATAAATGTTGACGTGAAGTGCATCACGGGACATTACCGCTCATTAAAGATTATCTACATTCCTTTGAGTCATGTTGCTGCACATGGATGATGAACCTCTCGGCTAAGAAATCAGGCATCATGTCTTACGGTTGCTGCATACCCGAAGGATCTATCACCCTAAACAATCAAGGCATCCCTACACAGTTGTCCACCCGAGACCTTGGCATTAGGTACTCGTCTACCTTCAATTACTCCGAACAAGCCCAATACCAAGTATCACGTGCCAGACAGTCTATCTTCAATATATCAAGCAAAAACACACAACTCGTGCTAGAGTTTAGCTTTTCAAGCTACTCACTAGCCCTATCCATGAATACTGCAGCATCATATACGAAAATATAAGAAAGAGTGACAGAATTGCTGTGGAGAACCTGCAGAGGTCATTTACTAAAGACCTGATTAGTAAAAACTCTGCTACGAGTTATCGAGAACGTTGCAAGGAACTTCATCTCGAAGCACTTAGAATTCGACGATTGAAGTACAATTTGTCGCTGCTTTTCAACATGTTACCCAATAAGACCTAAACCAACCTCCCTACACTCAATTTACAACGTTGCTCAACTCGAGCGCTTCGCAACAAAGATTTTACATTGAATATACCGAAGGCTAGAACGAACGTCCGCCCTAATTTCTTCCTGGTCAGATACAGCTATCTGTGGAATAAACTACCAATAACAATCAGGTCATGTGATAATGTGGCAACGTTCAGTAGCAGACTCGTCAATTACCTTGATCTAACTACCCTAAGCTCTATATTCACATGAGAAAATCCCTCGATGAGCTATTCCAAGTGGGACCCTAAGACATATAAACACCAATGTTTTCATAACTAGGCTTTAGCCTCAACCATCCGGCAGAATGTTAATACATGAAGCGCATATCCCAATACTCCACCTATGCATGGCACCCATGCAAGAGCATCGATTCTTTTGTACAAATTGATCTGTGCCGCTATAGACACAGTTTCACTTATCAAGAGAAATATACGTATTATTATTATTATTACATTGTCGAGGGCGTGTGCGTTGTAGCTGTATATTCACCTATGCAGGGTGCATAAAGCAATTTCTTGACTTGACTTGACTTGACTTGACTATCCTCCGGCAGGTCCCTAAGCTGGGTAGATCCTGAGTTGACAATGACCATTCGACCGGGCTGCACGGCATTAATTGAGAGTTCGTTACAGCAGGTTCCATATCAGATAGTCCTCCATATGCACGGAAGAGCACTGGACTATAGTCCCGACCTGTTGGACATCATCAGTAGTGCGCATTCACCTGATCCATTAAGATTCGAAAGCAGGACTACTAGCGGATTGCATCGCCAATCAGCAGCTTATGGAGGATAAGACGCGGTATACCGCGAGTTGGGTGTAAATCATGACAATACCACACTGTCTCGTGTGGCTAAATGGCCTAAGCTGGCAACTAGGGATACAAATCGCTGCTGGTATGGGTCAGAGTCTCGGTACACCTGACGGATACGCATTACTGATAACGCCCAATAGTTTGAGACTGTAGCCTAATGTTTTCCCACGGGTATGGAGTGCTAAATGACTTGTAGGCTGTTGTGACGAAGTCTCATTTAATTACAACAACCAAGACCATACTACTGAGTAATACGACATTTGGGATTCAGTTGAAGCACCCATTGTGTGTGTGTCTGAGTGGGCTGGCATTTGCTATGATCAGAGTCTCGGTCATTGCAGTCACTTGGACTGTGACTATTAGAAAGTGGTTTTCGGAAGTTTGTTGTACGAATTGTAGGTATGGAAAATAATAAACCATCACAATTTACAGAACGATTTAGTTTGGTACAATTCTGGTCACTTTCAAAAGGACTGTGTCTCAAATGATTTGCGGTTAGGCTGTTGCACGCTTCCAAAACCAACTCGAGACACGTTTGTTTCTTTTTGCGATCTCCGGGTAGCTGTGTTTGGGGCAAAGGTGTGACGGTCGCTCGTTTCGATGATCGAGATCCAGTGGTTCAGCCTAACAATAAACCAAGCGTGCGCCGCTCGTGTCAGCTGATCGTGCTTGACAGACAAGAAGTAGAACTGGTTCAGCGTGGCACCGATGGATCCGATGGATGCGCACTACTGATGATGCCCAACAGGTTGAAACTACAGTCTAGTGCTTTTCCGGGCATGTGGACGACTATCTGATTTGGAAACTGGCTGCGATGAACCTCACTTAAAGTATGGCTTAGTTATATGCAAGCGGAGAGCGGATTGGCTCAAATAGCAACAGGCGAACGCCACATGAGCCCATTTTGACAACATGGGATGCACTGGAGGTCGGTTACCTGAACGTATGCAGTTGAAAAGTGACTAGTAAACAGGAACCGACCTAGACATACGCTCACAAACCAGACGGACAGCGAAGGATTGGCGCGGTCTAACGTGGGCATGAGTGGGCCGTACGGAGGCCAGCAGATGAACAGCGTTTGTGAACGAATGAAGGCAGACTGTAGTTGAAACAAGCACTGAAAACAATCGGTTGATAACACTTCAATTCATTGTGCAATATAAATGCATTCAAATTTTAAAAACAAGAGACTCGTGATGGTTTCCCAAACTTTGTTTGTATACTCGATGGGCTACGTCATTTGAGTGTTGTCAAATGCAACATTACACCACGAAATTCTGCGAACAGTGCGACGGATTTGCTATGAATTCCATCCACAGAGAAGCCCAGAATGGTGGTCCCTCATCATCTAAATCCTCAAGCTTGCTGAAACATTAATAGACTGCTTGTATACTTTTGTTGAAATGGTGAGTATATAAAAATTAAATTTGACACTCACTTAATGACGCTCACCACTCGCTCAGTTGAAGCAGTGGTTCGGAACATATGATTGAAGCGGAAGGGATATTTTTCTAAGTCCAGGAAGCTGAGGCAGAAGAACTGACCCAGAATCCATCTGAAGCGTGGAAAATATATACTGGGTGTGATAATATCTGCTGACCAAGATATCGGCTGTTACACTGATCAGTAAGTTGCAAGCCGGTAGCGGTCATACGACTATGGAACAATGAATGTCCCTGGGAAATGAACAGAAGCATACCAAATTCCGTAAGTAAAGAATGAGACCGAAAATTGATTTTATCAAGGAAACGTAACGCCTGGTCCATTCATACTGTATGACGTTGGAAAGGTATTTGTAACTCTGTGGAATCATTAAATATAATGACATGTTCTATCTACGTAGCTTGAAGTGGATCATTGGAACAATGGATTGATCACGATTGAAAAACCAATGCTTACAAGTTTGTGTAAGTGAACAGGGAGACCCAAAGTATCAAGAACAGGCAACGAGTAAAGATGGACTCACCGTATACTTATACTATGTCGTGTCCCAGTAACTTGGGCTAAGTAATATGATGCATCAGAAAGTTGAAACTTGTGATCAGCTAACTTTGGAGTGGAGAGAACAGAATGTCAGAGAACGTTCCATTTACTATTGGAGAAAACGTTTCGGCAGCATTCCAGCCGGCTATACTGTGTGGCCACCTTCAAATGCTAGCCTCTCCGTGATGTGTTGTTGGTGGGATCTTGAGGATCTTATATCCTGTATAAGATCACCACTTAGATAACGATACTTCTCACTGAAAACTCTCGGGGTCTTTAGCCCAAACTAGTACGGGAGGAGAAGCAGATACTTAAGGATTTAGTCTCTCACCGTTATGGATTCTCAAATGCTGTGAGATCCCTGATGGAACTGAAGGACGCGTGCCACTAATGAGACCAAGAAGTCGAAATGTCCGTCTGGTGATCTTCCGGACTAGCTTGCTTCTGCATTGCATTGGAATAGAATTTGCTGTGTCACTGAGATGAGTTACATCACACAGGCCGAGGCCTCTGTGCACCTTCCATTAGGGCATGATCGTTACTTTTGACACAAGTAACTGTTAAAAAGGGCGCAAAAGTTATACTGCTGCGCTATTGGTCACATTTGTCACTCCATAAGGTCACTGACAGTAAGGGAGGCTAACTGTTCCCGAAATTGGAAGAAAAATTAAGTAAATGCAGACATTTGTACAACTGACAAAGCCATAGTCAGGCTGTATTCGTAGCAATAAGAAAAGGGTGCTAGTAGGTATTGATAAATGTGGCCGATGCATGTCTCAGACTGCGTTAGTCCAAGGTCAAAAACACTCACACCCATAGATTACATTAGGTCCACTTCGAACAGTGTCCTGGAAAACACGATATTTATCGATGAAGATTCATTGTGAGACACTTGATAGGTAAGCGTCCGCACGTACTGTGCCTGAGCTAAAGAAATACGCCGTAGTAACACCACTATCAGCACTTCACCGTGCACTTAATGGTGAACTACATAGGAATGGTAATAAATGTCTTCGAATTGACTGCATATTATATTATTCGTTTTTATCTTCAATAAACCATTTTTACACAACTGTAAGGCACCCATAGGTTGGTGAAGTAATTTGCTGACACAAAGTAAGTACCACATGACAACGTGTAGTCGTTTACATTAGTATAATGTAGAATAAGCATACATTGTGATATTTACAGTCCCCCACTACATGGGCAATACCGAAGATAATCGCTAGCTATACTGCGTCAAACATCTGGCGCTGACCTGTTGCGCAGTCAAATCGGACAACGCCGAACACTAAGACTGATTAGCCCTCTTGCTTCAACAAATACTGGGGATTGAGAACAGCTGCGAATTTGACGGTTGCCGTTACGTGAGTTGCCTGCTTTGAGTAATGCAAATATATACTAGCCAACTCTGTCATTGCAGCATTTCGTTTCGGTTCTCAAGTACCTTTTAACGGAACGGTGTGAAGCATGAAGTTTCCTAATTGATACTAACTGTTATATTGAGCAAACTAAACAGGTTTGTGGGTGAAAAACTATTTTTTGCACGAATAGGACCTGGGGTTACGGCATGCGCCGTATGCCTGTGTAGTGGTCCACCACTTCCAACATGATTTTAAATGAGTACAGACCCTGCCACCGAATAAACAGCTGAATGAGGACGATACTGTTTAGGCACCCAGTGTTCCACTATAATACTGTGACAGGGACAGCGAAATAGGCCGTGCGAAGTTGAACCAGTTGCAAAAATATATATTAAGAGATGGTTATTGCGGAAGCCTCCACATCAGTTAGTACTCCACACACCCGCAGGAGCACTAGACCTCAGTTACGACCTGTTGAGTCCCGTCAGTAACGCACACTTGTCGGCCCCAATAAGATTCGAAGCAAGATCAGCATCAGCGTGCACCGCCAGTTAGCAGCTCCTAGATAATGAATAATGATTTATTATGGGTAAACATGCAAATGAATGCGAAGTCCCGTAGGATGGTTGTAGTGAAAACTAAAAAGATCAAAGGATAAGTGAATAGTCATTTTAAGCATTTGCCAATTTGACTGCACTGCTGCATAACAACAGTTTGAAATGAGAATTGAATGTGCGCAGGCAGTGCAATATGGCAGCGATTTTAATTCATGTAATCCGTGAGAAAAAGTAAATATTGGAAATAACAACGCTCACTCGTGTGTCACTTCTTTGGGCTGATTGGATACGTAAACCCAGTTTCCACAGCAGGTTTTCATAAAGGACGTGCAAGAAGTGAAAAGGAGCAGGTCCATTAGTGATGTTAGGTTAATACTTAGGCATAGAGGGTTGTATGGCGTAATGTAAATTTATGGGCGTATCCTCGAGTCGAATTTTGTATACCATCCGTGTAGAGGAAGAAATAACGTAAGTGGGAGGGCGTTCCAAGGTTGGAACAAGCGAGGTGAATAGAAATTCAGCCGGCATTCCAACTGGCCATAATGTGTGATCAGTTTTAGCTGGTGACCACTCAGGTTGGCTTTGTGATTCACCTTCAGCAGGGGACCATAATCATGGTATGGATTCTTTATAATCAAAAATGTCCTTATCAAATCTCCCAGCCAGCGTCGATATTGTCCACGGTAAACACCAAAGCTTTTCAATCTCAGTCGGTAAGAATGATGAAACAGACCCTTTACGTCATTGGTTGTCCATCGTTGTGGCAGTTCAAATGCGGTGAGGTCGTGCTTGTAGCAAGGATGCCAGGCGTGAATGATGTATTCTTAATGAGGCCTAATGTTGGTATTGAACATCTGAGAGAAGATTGAAGGGTCAAATCACCAGAATGCTCTCCGCAAGCGTTCAAGGTGTTGGTTTGGTTTCTTGGACACTTTCTCAACCTGAGGTGGACAGTCAACGTTTTCTCGCAATATCCCAACTACATGGCATCCAGTTAGAAGCTCGTTGCAAAGCTTGATCCCCCAACATGTATCCGTAAGTGGATTGACGGCATATATTGTTGTCGAAGTGAAGCAGGTTCTGTGTCCCGTTCGCATACCTTACGAAGGACATCCTGAAGCGCTGCGTGGTTACTCGTTGTTTTGATGGCCCGCCACACCTTGAGATCAGCAGCAAAGTGTAAAAACTTTAAGGTTATCTCTCTCGCGAGATCGATATGTAAATCAGGAAGAGCGTGGACTAAGTACTGAGGTCTGTGGCAGTCGGCACTGAGGATCGATAGGGTCAAAGATGGGGCGGCGAACTGCCACATTCAGATGCAGTTAGATCAGAAAGTTGCCTATCCAACCGACAATTGGGTTGCCAATTCCACAGCTCTAAAGCTTGTGAATGAGTATGCGGTGGTTCAGACGGTCGATCGCCTCTGCTAAACAGCGTCAATTCCCCAGCTGCTGCTGATGATTTCCGCCTAACTAGAGACAGCAAGTAGCAGGTTTGTGATGCAAGACCGGTTCTGGCTCTATCCGTTCTGTTCCAGTGCTATGAGTTTTTTTCCTTGCAAACAATTCATGAGCGCTTCGGAGTAGCTCCGTGAATTGGATAGCCCCAGAAGGAGTGTTAGCGAGTGACAATTGGCCGGATCTACACGATTCCTCCTTGTGACTGGGAATGAGGATCCCATGCTTCCAAATTATTGGAACCGATATCTCGCGGAGGCATCCTTTGAAGAATCTGAAGAGTGACCCCGCCAACTTCATTGCAGCTAACCTCGGGACCTTAGGCCGGATATTACCAGCACCAGGAAAAGTATGCTGGCGTAGGGAAGTTAGTCTTACTGGAACAGCTGAAGTCGTAAACGAGATGTGGATAATTCCTGGCGGTGGTATAACACGCGTGAACAGCATAAACGACGAAGTCGTGCTGTGGAAGTTTGGGGAGATTTGCTGACATAGGGCATTAGCCGCTTCACTTATAGTTTGTGCTCGTCCACTTGGTGTGTGGAGAGAAAAAGTCCCTCGCTGCACTTTACGGAGTTTGTTAACATGCTAGAAAGGAGTTTCGAGTTTGAAGAAATTTTCTCAGCTCGATCCTGTTGATGTTTTAACTTGTCCTCGCGTACCAAATCTTGTAATGATTTCGCTGGATGGTGCAAGCTTCCCGCTTTTTGGCACATGATGACTCCTTGTGGTTTCGCCAGAGTGAATCTCTGGTAACCATACAATTCTGCTCGTTGCAGAACATGAATGAATTTACTCTCATCGCGTACGAGGGTGTTCCTTTAAACATTGGTTCCTAATTTGTTGAACTGATGAATAAAATCCCACCAGGCGACATGGAGGGTAGTACAGCTAGTAACGAACATTTGGTCACGTTAACGAGTGTGATCAGAACGCCGTAATCCATACTGAGCTGAGGATCGTCGGTGTATTCTGCGGAATACTCGGCAAAACTAATGTAGTTGAACGTGAGTGTTAATGATCACAGCAGTCTTAAGGATTAGCTATCGATACCTTTTCAAGCAGAAGCTTTTCGTTGGTGAACGCGAGATCAAAGGTACTTGGTTTGATCCCAACCCTGCATCTTGTGGGAAATCCAACGTGTTGGCATAGGAGTAATCCAAATATTACCTTTTGCAATTCCATTTTAAAATTCTGGTCAAGACAGACTGGGGTTTCTAGGGCATGAAGATAGAAGCCACTAAACATAAGAATGTGACTGCGTGCATGTGCGGGAATAGTTTCCATAGTGGAAGCTAGGCAATTACTCATTACTGAAATAGATGACGGATGGCAGTACACGAGCCCAGTAAACATGTGCCACCAAGTCTTTAACGAAGACGAGACCAAAGCAAGTCGACAATCTGAA